GCAGGGTCTGTGGCGGCCAGCTCGGCCCCCTGGGCGAGGAAAGTCGGCCAGCCCCGTGCACCCTTCCTCCCAGCTGAGGCCCCAGCAGACCCTGGGACTCAGTTATGGGTTTCCACCTCCCGGCAGGGACACTTAGAAACACCCCCCACCTCCCTTTTCCACCCCCACCCAACCAAGGGAGTGCACTGCGGGGCTGAGCGTGGAGCTACGGAGCCGGGGACAAACTGCACCACTGTGAGTGAGTTCTCCCACCCTGCATATCGCTCTTAACCTCCTAAACCTGCATTGTTTTAACGTTCTTTATCACCTCCAACAAAAGGGAGATGGGTAGGCTCAATGTTAATTGTGAACCCTGCAGGAAACCTGGTTTGTTTGGGGTTTTTTTTTTAGCCGTCCCACCGTGAGAAGAGGGCGAATAAGATGTTTTCCATCTTGTGAATACCATTTTAAATTGCTATATTTAATGCTACGAGTTCTACAACGTCTTATTTGCAGACTATTTGGTGTTTGATTTAATCTATAACCGAAAACATAATGTATTAAGTGAACACATATTTGCTCAGCTGATAAGCTTAATATTTATTCGGAGAACTTTTGCATTGTAAATAAACGGGACCTGGACAAAGAATTCTCTTTGTCTCTCAACTTCATACAAAGAGGTTTGGGGTTCCCTCGCCTCTAGGGATCGCCAGCTCTCTCCCCCGGTCTAACAAATGACTCGCCGCTGCTTGGGCCTGCAAAGCGAGCGCCAAGCCGCCGGGGCCAGGGCAGCGCCGGCGAGGAGGCTGCCCGCGCCGGGGTCAGGGGAGGGGCGGCGGGGGGGGGGGGGGGGGGGGGGGGCTGGGGGAGTGACAAAGGGAGAGAAGGAGGGGAGGGAGGTCGGGAACCTGCAGCTTCAAAGGCGCCGAGGGCCCGCGGCTGCGCCCGCGGGGGTGCGAGGCTTCCCGGCGGCCTCCGGGGAGTCGTGTGTGCTAGCTTTTGTTTTGTGGGGGTTTCTTTTTTTCCAGTACGAGATTTCAGAACTGCCGAGAAAGCGCGAGCTGCTCGCGATTCTCGGGACGCGGGCTCGGCTGCCAGCAGCACTTTTAACCTTCCACCCCTGGCCGGCGGATCGCGGGTTCACCAGCCCGCCAGTTTTTTTTTACGCAGACTGGGGTTGAATTATCGTCGCCCGTCCGTGCCACTGAGATTCTTACTGGATTGGAGGGACTTTTCTTTGTGTCCTTTGCTCCGGAGGAGAGGCCGCGCAGCGCCTCCTCGGCCGCCAGGGAGCGGCTTCCGCGGCCTGCGGAACCCAGGCCGAGGAGGGAGCGGGGCGGGGAGGCGCGGCCGCCGCAGCTAGGGCCCGAAGGCCCCGTGCCGTCACCCGCCAGTCCCAGGGCTCCAAGCCCCCTCCCCCCAGCTGCTCGAGAGGCCGAAGCAGAGGACAGCACAGCAGCCACAGGCCTGGCCGGTCTAAGGAAGGAAATGGGAGGGAAAGCGGCGGAGAACGGGGGACCCCGCGCCGGCCGGAGAAACGATGACAAGGGCATTTTGGAAAGAACCGAACCTCGGAACGCTCGGCTCCTCCCTGGGCTGGCGGGGCTCGGTCCCCAGAGCCACCGTCCCCGCTTTGCGTGGCTCACGCTCTCCTGAATGCGGGGCTCCTTTAGGTTTGCTTTGGTTGTAACTAAAGGACTAAAAATCCCACCGTCGCTTCGGCCGCCCCCCGGTTAAAAGCACCCATTCCCGTGTGCCTCCCCCGGCGCCCGTCTCCCAGCGCGCGCGCGCGCGCCGTGGGGCCTGCAGGCTGGGCTGCGGCCAGGGGCACACCGGGGCGCGGACTGCTCCGGCGCCGCCGCAGAACCCGCTCCCTGCGAAACGGCCGCGCCCGCCCCCCCGGGAGAGGACCGAGGGCCCGGCCGCACTAGAGCCCGCGGCCCGGGGCGCACTCGCCCGCAGACCCCCGCCTCGCTGGCCGTGGCCCGAGCCCCGCGCGCTGCCCGGAACGCGCGCGGTGAAAACGCCCCGCTGCGCCGGCCTCGTTGCCCCCCTCATCCATCCTCAGCGCCCCCCACCCCCCAGGAAAAGAATTTCTGAAATGTTCTGCAATGAATTAGGCTCTGGAAAGCGAAACCCGAAGAACTCGCGTTACCCCTCCCCGCCCCGGCCCCTCGCCCGCACCCAGCCGGCGGCCGGAAAGCCCCTCTGGTCAGCGGCCCGGGCCGCCTAGGCCACCCCGAGCCGGCCCGTTCCCAGCGCCGCCGAGCGGCCGGGCGGGGCCGACCCGGGGCTGCTCGGGGGAGGGAGCGAGGGGGGGGGGGGGGGCAAACAATCGGGGTTCGTTCGTGGTGCAGCCGGAGCTCGGCGCTCGTTGGCGGCGTCCGGGGGTCCTCGCCGACGGTCCGCCCGGAGCCGCCCGCGCGGTTCGCGCTGGACGCAGCCTGGCTGTCCCTGTCCTGTCGCGATTATTTATTTTTAATGCTGGGTGTCGATCGAGACAACAAGCGCTCAGAGCAAAGCAAGGACGCATTACGGGGGGAATTTTAAACCGATCGATAAGATTTTTCAGAGGAAAAAAAAAAAATCGCTGTCCTATTTAGACCATCTTTAAAAAAAAAAGCCTACTCCACATTATAACGGAATTTTAAAAAGGGAAGATATATATTTCTTAACATCACAACCCTGAATTTCTCTTGCTAAAAAGAAAAAAATGTAAATCCCCAAAGCCAAAATAAAAAATAAAATAATAATAAAAATACAAAAACAAAAAAAAATGAAAGCAATTTCAGTTACTTACTGGAGGTTGTTTCCTGGATACAATTGAATGCAATACAATTAAATCAGTAAATGTGACTTTGTTTTGTATTCCTATTGGTATTTTCAATGTGCTGACTGTTGCACTGTAAATGCACCGCTTCCACCACAACGACTCTAGCGAGCCCATCCAGAGCGGCTCTCAAACCTGCAGCCCGGCGCGGCGAGCCACGGGCCCTGCATACTAATAAGCTCGTGCCACTCAGCCCCGAGCAGCCAGCGCGCTGATTGGCCGCGCAGCCCTCCGCGGCCGGGAGCTCGTGCCACTCATTCGGCGTAAACAGGCCTCCCAATAGGCTGGCGCCGGGCCAGAGAGCTGCCAATCAGGGAGCAGCAGGGCTACTACTGAGCCCGATGGCGCCTAATTCAAGCCCGGCGACTGCGCAGCTCCTCTGCGCAGATCGTTGCTGTTGAATGGGAATGTGGTGGCGCAGGGCGGGAGAGGGAGCAAGGGCGAGTGGGAGCGCGTGTCCGCGCATAGGGGGAGGCTTTTTCTTTTCTTTTTTCTTTTCCTTTTCTTTCTTCCTTTCTTTTTTCTTTCTTTCTTTCTTTTTTTTTTAATTAATCCAGCAGGTCTAACGTTTGGCTTCTGGTGCAACAGAGGCCGGGAGAAAGAAACAACGCCACCCGTTAAAGCAGATTTTTTTTTTTTTTTTTTTAATACCTGGGATGTCTGGCAGGTGGCTGAACCCCGCACAAGTAGGCCCGAGCTCCAAGCATAGAAGCCTTCTCGGGTTGCCTGGTCCTTCCACCATCCGGACCTTGGCCTGGTCGCACCGACCTCAGGAATGCCTGCATTCCCGAGGCCAGGGCAGCGCAAGCCCCAGAGTCACCTGCCTGGTCCCCTCCTGTCCCTTGCCCTGCGGATCGGACCTCAGGGACATGGTCCTGCATCTCTGGCTATCTATCTACCAGCTCTCAATTTTATCTCCCTTGGCCATACTTTGCAACGGAGCACCGATCAGAATGAAAATCCGGAATTCATAGCTGAGACAAAGATTGCCCTTTTCTTCAGCTGTAACTAGATTTTTAAAGTATGTTCACCTTGATAATGCACAATGCGAAAACCTTGCATTTCTCAAAGCCAGTCTCCTGCATATCAACTAAATTCTCCCCACAATTAATAAGAGCCACTGAACAATTATCGTTATTGGATTTAAAGCACTTTTAAAAATTTTCTCCAAACAAATATTTCTGTTAGAATTTGATTTCCCAACAACATGCTATTTATTTATTCCCGGGGAGTCAAGGTGATGTTTTAGTAGTGATGGATACATATTTACTCCTCTTTCTCCTTGTGAATCTCTGCCTCCCCCTCTGGGAGACACAAAAAAAGGATATTTAAACTAGATGCTAACAAACTCATGCACACGCATTAGAAATTCTCCACCGGCTCATTCCAATAGGGACACGAAGGGGTTAAGCCTGAGGCCTTCTGTTGTCTCCTTCCTTTTCCCGCCCCCCCCCCGCCCACTCCCGCGGGACCGCCGGGATTGGCTGGCACGCTGCCAGCAGGCTGTCAATCACCGAGTGTAAACAAGGCGCTGATTGGCTGTTGTCCAGTCCGCACAGGGCCTCCTGAAAAAAGCAATTACTGGCTCCGCGGTTTCAAGGCGCCCAAGGCCGCTTGATGAAAGGAGATAAGCTGGGGACAGTTTCCAGGACCCCCACGGGCCGACCCCAGCAGCCCGGGAGCCGAGGTGCGCCGCAGAGCCTGCGGATCAAAGGAATCCGGAGAGAAAGGGGAAGCAGGCGCACGGCCCGGGCCGGCCTTCCCCCGCGGGCATCTCTGACCTGGGGTGGGGGCTTGGGCGGCGGGCGGGGGCTCCGGGATTGGGCGCCCGCTTCGGGCGGCGTGGCCGGCGGGGCGGCTCCGGAGAGCCCGGGGCTGGCAGGTAAGCACCGGGACACCGCGAGCGCGGGACAGGGCGCGCGGTCCCGAGCTGAGGCTCCGGCGATGCCCCGACGCGGCGGCAGAGATAAAACCCCAGCTGCCGGAGCCTCTGGCCAGTCCCGAGGCCGACGCCTTCGGAAACGACCCCAGGCGGCGCGCGGCAACCGCGGGAGGAGAGGCAGCTTGCATAAATCCATAAAGCGCCTGGAGATCCGATTAGCGCGCGGCTATTCATTAGGCCGTGGGCGATTGAATTAGGTCCCCGTTGCGGACCGGGGGGGGGGGGTGGGCCGCTCGGGCTTGGCGCTACCATCGGGGTGGGGGGTGGCTGACGCGGACCACCGGGCTCGGCCCGTGGCTTCTGGAGGATGGAGTCGCAGTGACGGCCCCGGCCTGTGTTGGGGAGACGGACTTCCTCTGGGTCCCGCCCCTACGGGTGCGTGCGGAGGCCCCCCGCTTCCCACGCATCCAGGAAAGCCGGCCCGGTTGGGGAGAAATCGCTCTCACCTAGAGGTGGGTCGGCGGGGACGGCCTCCAGCCTGGGCTCCGGAACCCCTTGCAGGGCCAGGCGAGGCCGGAGCTCGGGCTGGAAGCGGCTTGCAGCGCCGTCCCGGAGCGCGCCGGGCTCACACTGCGTCCCTGGCCCCGGTGGCCTGGTGCGCGGAGGCTGGTCGGTCCGTAAGCCCTGGGACCCCCACCAGCTTCCCGCAGCCCCTCGGCACAGCTCTCCAGCCGAGACTTTGAAGTCTAGACCCCCGGCAAAGCGCCCCTAGCTGACAGCACGTTGCCTACTCTGGTTTGGTAGGGGAGTACCCCATTGCTGACATTCTCCAATGAGTTGTTTCCCGGCCCAGGAACCTTCTTTTTTTTAACGTAGGATTGCGTTTTAAAGTTCCGTTTGAAATGAAATATATATGTGAGCAAAATACATATAAGAAAAAGATTCTCCATCCAAGGGAAAGAACACCTTGGCGACCGGCGGAATCCCTGGAGTTTCTCTGAGTTCCCAGAGCTGCGCCCGCGGCCCGATGCCCATGGGCCAGGAGGGGACTCCTGGCCTCTGACCGCCTGTGGGGGAGACGAAGGGGCTTCCAGTCTCCAGGATCCCGCAGTTTGCGCAGAAAGGCACCCGCTGGGAAATCCCCATTCTCTGCTCCCCACCTCCGAGGGCAGAAGATTGTCTGAAGGTCCTGGAGCCTGGCGGATGGGCCCCACCCTAGCGGTACTGGAGGCCTGCAGGCTGCTTTGAGACCGCAGAGAACTGTACGATTCTGGGACCTCCCTGCCCTTGCGGGTTGTAGCTGGCGTTCACCAGATTACTAATTCAGGGGGTGAGAATTGGCTTTCAGGACCCCCATCCCCAGTGCTGTCCCCTGCCCCTGCTGACTTGCATCCAGAGACAGGCGGCAGGCCTGGGGAGGGCCTAGAGGCCTTGGATGTGCTTAGGCCTCACTCTTCCCTGCCTAGCTACCGCGCCCCCAACCCCACCCCCTCCTACTTCCCCCAGCATCACTTAAAACAAATCTAGTGGGCTCTCCCCCCCCCCCCATGCTGTTTCAAAACAGTTGTTACAGCAAATAGTTGCAGATAGGCCTGCTGGATGCGGCAGGGTCTGGCAGCTTCCCAGCTCGGGCACCGGGCCGCCAGGCAGCTCCCCAAGTACCACCAAAATAAGCTGCCCGTGTTCCCCCGTGAGGCTCGGGCCGGGGCCTGTTTGGCTGGAAGCACTATCAGCAACGAGGAAACCTCCGGTTTCCTTTTCACTCTCCCTGCTGCCCAGAGCTAACAAATGTTTTTAATTTTAGAGAAACATGGTGTAGGGATCTGAGGGCTCGCCTTCCACTAGGGCGGGAGAGACCCAGGGAGAGGGCAGACGCAAGAAACGAAGGGGTCCTGATGGGAGGCCAGGTTGAGCCGGGGTGCCCAGGGCTCTGCAGCCACCTGCGGTTTCACAAGGGAAGGGACCCCCACACCCTGGCCGCCTGTGGGCCTGGCCCCAGCCTGGACCACTGCCAGAGGCGTCCTTCAGCTCCGCGTGCTTCCTCCCTGCAGGAACCCCTGCGTCCACATGCCTCTCCTGCCAGACACTCCTCCTGGCTTGCCCTCTGGCCTGGGAAGAAGGTAAACAGATGCCCGAGAGGCCAGCTGTTCTCTGACACCTGGGCGTGCTCTCTCAGCACACTCACATCCACACTACACTCTCGCGCACACACCGCCCCTGTGCACACGCGTACGTCTCGCACACACGTGCGCGTACATCGCACTCAGGCGCACCCTTGAGCACCACGCAGCACGTTACACTCCCATGTGCACAAAACATACGTGCACACGCTTCATCTCACATAGCGGCCCATGTTTACACGTGGCCCGGCGTTCTGGAGAACCTGCCTTGCCCCACGCAGCCTGGGGGCCCCTGACACATCCCCCCCAGCCTGTCCCCAGCCATGGAGTTCCATCTACAGTGCTCCCAAAAGACCACGATCCTGCTCTGCCTGAAATCATGAAATAATCATTTTTTTTTAACACAAGGGTGTGGGGGTGTCGGGTGAGTTACATAAAATTGTGAATTAGTCCCTGCTCCAAATAAATGCCTACTTGGGCCAGAGAACAGCAGAGAGAGAGCTGCGCGCTCCGTAATTGTGTGCCGGGTGTCTCTCCATTGTTCCCAGGGCCATTAGTCCAAGGGCAAATTAGGAATAATTTCTTGACAAAAATTGACTCTTAATTCGCCCCCACCCCCTGCCAGGCTCAGGGGGCCAAGTCCAGAGGGCAGGCAAGCAGGCCCGCCTGAAGGGGGGGCCCTGTATCCACAGGTTTGCACTGGGCATGAGGGGGAAGGAGGGTGAGCTGACCCAGCACCCCCTACCCTCCCTCAGCGGGAGAGCGGTGCACAACCTCCCCTCTCTTTCCAAGGAACGTACAGGTGGGGGGGAAAAAAAAAAAAAAAAAAAGACCTGTTCCCAGAAGTGCCTTAGCTGGAGGAGTTCCCCAGGCACCACTGAAGCCTCCAGGAAGCAGGGCTGGGCCCCAACACCATCTTCCAGAAGGAGGTCTTCCACCAGTTACAGGGTGGGGGGGGGGGGGGGGTGTGGGAGGGTGCGCTGGAGGGAGCAGGGGTGTGGGGGGAAGGGCAGCCCATCCAGCCCACCTGAGAAGCCCCCAAATGTGGCTCCCTCACTAAGCACTCCCCAGAGCATCCTGGATCCCTGCCTTCCCAGGTGCTCCCTGGCTGTGGGTGGGACCCCAGGAGGTCCACTCCAAGGTGCTGCGCCAGGAATTTGTGCCTGGACTGGAGGGTGGCCTTAGCTGCCGCATCTTCAGCTTCCGGGGCTTCCGCTTTGTTGGGGCGACCCACTTTGGAGTGGAGAGAAAGATGAAAATCCCCAGGACTCCCGTCCCCCAGAGAAGGATGCTGTTCCCGCAGAAAACAGTGCCTCCAGTCACAACGGGCCCGGTGACAGGAGAGAGGCAGCAGACACAGAAACATGAGTAGTTGGGGCCAGGTCTGGCTGGGAGGGTCCCCCGCCACGCCTCCCCCAGGAAGTCTTCCTCCAGCATGACCAGGCTCTGTGCCCTGGGCCAATCCCTCCCAGATCCCAGCTCCTGAGCCAGGGGCCTGCTCACTCGGAAACCTCCCCCACCTCCCAGGCGCAGCAGCTGACCCCTGCAGGCCACAGACAGGCTCCCAGACAGACCTGGGGATATGGCTGGGAGTTTCAAAAGGCAGCAAGAGCTGCTGGGGAGCCAGACTTTGAAGTTGGGTGAGCAGGCCTTCCCAGGGCCCCTCCCTCCTGGGGGGTTAAATCTGTTGCTGGTTGGTCCGAGCAGGTCAGGAGGCTGCCCGGCCCCCTCGGCGCAGGGAAGGTGCTCGTTAAACACAAGAGGCGTAATTTGCGGCTAAATATAACCCAGTGTGTTCACACGTAAAGTATAATTCAGGGTGCTGCTTGTGTGAGGGTAACAGGAGACCCATCTGGGTTAAATTGAAGTGATTTTCATAAAAGGGCAGGAGCGTCCTATCAGCCAGCTTCCCCTCCCCCCCCAGATGTTTTATTAGTGGGAACATGACTGGTGGCCTGATAGGGAGGGTGAAGGGGCTGGGGAGAGGCCTGGGACCCCCCAGAGGAGAGGGAGCCCCTCATTGCCCCCCACTGCCTGCTGCCCTCCCCCCCCCCCCCCCCCCCCCCCCCCCCGCCACTATCTCATACAAGCTGGAAAAAGGCAGGGGAACCCCCAGGAAGTCTGTAAAGGGTTAGGGTGTGTGCAAGGCTGCCCTCCCCTAAAGGCCAGCTGGTCCTTCCTGTGAGGAAAGACCCTACTGATGAACAGAGCACAGCCCCATGGGAATGGAGGCCGGTGGCTTCGTGGCTGGACACGTCCTGCTGGGGGACAGAAACTCTGGTGGGGCCTGGCGAGGGGTCAGCTACGTGCCGCTTCCGGGCACACACACCGTCACAGACGCCGGAGGCTGGCCGTACACGCTCCCTGGAAGGACACCTGCCTCCTCCCGGACCAGGCCTCCCAGACCAGCTAGAGGAAGTGCCCGGTAAGCAGCTGCCGCAAGCCCTCCTTCACGGCTGTGTTTGGGTGTGTTTACACATGTCGCTGTCAGGGTATGTCTGGACAGGGTCTCTGGGGCCGGACTTCCCGGGGGCCTGGTCTCACACTGGTGGGAGGGCCCTCAGACAGGGGTACAGGCTGGGGTGTCAGGGTTTCCTCTGATGAAATCCAGCTGGCCCAGGCAGAGCCGCGACGGGCCGGCAAGGTCAGTAGTAAAACCCAGAGGAGGAGTCTGGGGCCAGGCTGACCCCATCTTCAGGGCCGAACTCGAGTCCAACAAAGTTCCTCGGAGCACCAGTTACGGAGTTCAGGCAGGAGGGAAGGGCCCTGAGATACAGCGGGGGAGGGGGGGTGGGGGGGGGGAATGGCACCTGCCCCCTCCCACCCCAGGCTCCAGGGTGGACGGTACCTCAAAGCAAGCTTCCCTGCTGGGTTTCTTCACATTCCCAAAGGTGGAAAAGCCCCAGCCGCTGCTAGTCGCCCCTTCCTACCTCTGCCCCAGCACCGGGCTCTGGGAAAGACCCTGCCTACGGCCTATTCACACTGGCTTCTGACACACAAAAAACGAAGGCCTGGACGGCTGTCTGGCAAGGTCACATGCCCAGCCCTCCTGTTCTCTTCCTGCTGTAAAGTTGTTGCTGGCCAAGCTCCACACTCACACCCCAGACCCAGCTGTCTGCGGTGGGCCCACCTCACCAACTTCCTCTTCTGAGCCACAGCCCACACCCCCTGTCCAGAGGCCATTGGGACATTTCTCCCAGCCAGATGCCCGAGGCTGGAGGCTCCCTCCCTGGGCTGCCTCTGGTTAGAAACCAGGGCTGGGAAGGCACCAGATCCGCCCGCTCCCCTCCTTCTTGTGCTGGCCTGTTTACCTGCAGCGTACATGGACCAGAAATAAATTAATTCCCTTCAAAGTTCCCATAGAGCAGCTGGGGCCTGTGGCAAAGCCCTTTCCCCTTCCGTGCTCCGAGGCAAGCGGTGGGGCTGGCCAAGGCGCAGCCACAGGACCACCACTGGGGCCTGATCGGAGCACGCCCGCCCACCGCCTCTTTTGTTAACAGGGCAGTAGACCCATTTAATTAAAAATCATTCAATAGACCCGTTGTTTTTTTGTTTTTTTTTGGCCTGCACAAACATATATTCCGTCCCAATTCATGATGCATCCATATCGGCTGCAGGTGGTCACTGGGGGTGGGAAGCTTCCGGGAAAGGGTCCCAAAGGGAGACTCCCCCGAAAACTCCCTAGTCCGACAGGGCAAGCCAGGATGGGCAGAGGAGGCTGACCTGGGGTCAGCGCTGCGCCGCCGGCGCCCGACGGCCACTTCCGCCGGGGCCTTCTGGAGCAAGTCGCTGCCGGGCCCGGCCTCTGCCCCCGCGGGCCCGCGGGCAGGGTCGGTGTCCACACGCGGACCCAGAGCCCGGCGGCCGCTGCCCGCTCTGCCCCGTGGGAGCGCAGGCGCACATCAGGGAGTTTTCTTTCCACCGAAATGGATTTTCTTTGCACAAGTATTTTTTAGTAGCGGGCATTATGAGGCAAAGAGCCTCCGCCCGAGGCGGGTGGGAGCCGAGCGAAGCCCCGACCTCCGCGCTGGAAACAAAAGCCTTCTGGAAGGAGCCGCGGGGCGGGCGGCGGGACGCGGGGCGCGGCGGCCCGCGTCGGGAGAAGTGCACGTACCGCACGCCGGCTTCGGGGCGGCTCGGGCCGGGGTCCCGCCCCGGATCCCCGCTCCGGGAGCGGCCGCGGCGCCGTCCCGACCTGCTCTCCGGAGCCCGCCCGGTCCCGGGAGCGGGGAGGCGGCTGGAGGCGCCATAATCGCAAATTTATGGCCTGGGTGACGTGCTTCCCTCTCCCACAATGGGGCCCGGTGACATTAAACGGAAAATTGATGGGAGAAGAGCGGAATCTAATCTCTACCCTCCACGCCGGCTCTACTCGCTTTTCGAGGAGGGGGGGGCTGCGGGACGGGACGCGGGGAGGGGTCGCCGAGAGTTGGTGCGCTCCGGGGGCCCCGCGCCCGGAGCTCCCTCCCGAGCTCTGCCCGGTCGGCGGCGGGCGTGCGGGGGGGGGGGGGGGGAGGGGAGCACCCAGACCGTCGCCGCGCCCCCCGGCGGCCCTCCGACTCTCCGCCGCATTTCGCACCCGGGTCCGACGCGCCCCTGGCCTTCGCTCGGCTCCCCAACTCCGGGGACCCCCCCCCGTCCGGCGAGGAGCTCCCCGCCCCCACCGCGCAGAGCCCAGCCCCCGCCCGAGTAAGTGGGAAAAGGGCAAGTGACCACGCGGGGCGCGCCTGGGGTGGCTGCGGGGCTGGCCGCGGGCGAGCGCCCGCTCCCCTCCGCTCCCCTCCGCTCCCCTCCGCTCCCCTCCGCTCCCCTCCGCTCCCCTCTGCCGGCGCTGCTCCCCCGGGGCGCGCCCGGCGCCTCCTGGCACCGACCCCGCCGTGCCGCGTCCTTAAAGGCGCCGCCCGCCCTGCCGGCCTTTGTCCGTGCGGAGAAGGTCACGCCAGGGGGCGCGGGGCGCTGTTCTCCCCCCCCCCCCCTCCAGCCCAGGGGCGAAATTCCGCCACTGGAGGCCTGCAGGAGGCCGGGGCTCAGTAGATGCCTGGTCCTGCTGGGGTACACAGCTGGGGCCAAGGATCCGGCTTTCAACAAGTGACGGTGAGGGGGTGTGCTTCTCAGAAGGAGCATGAGTTGCAGAAAAGAAGGGCCACGTGCTCAAGAGAGAACAAACCCTCACACACACACACACACACACACACACCAAGTGGGGCAACCTGGCAACCTAACTGAGCTGCCCTCTGGCCAATGAGGGGCAGCCCCAGGGGATGGACGCACTCCTGGCTGGGAGCTCAGACAAGGATCCAGAGGGCAAGCCTTTTGGGCCACTCCACTGGTCGGCCTCTGTGGCCTCAATGAGAACATGGACATCTGGGTTCCAGGTGGTGTCCTTAGACACTCATTTAGTCCTCTGGACCGCCTGGGACACAGATGGCATGATGATCATGCCCATTTTACAGATGAGCAAACTGGGACCCAGACAGTAAATAACTGGCCTGTTCTCACCCAAGGGCTGCATATCTGGGCCCCAGACTCTGCAAAACCAGATTGACTGATCTCTGGGTCCCGAGCAGCCCCAAGACTCTTGGACATGGCAGACTGTGCAAGCCCTTTATGCTTCTCGAGGAACAGCAGAAAAACATGGGTCTCATGACGCCACGTTGTGGGCCACGGCACCCATAAGAAGGACGCCACCGGGGCCCCATTTTCCCTGGGAAGCCCCCTCTGCAGGCGCTGCCAGCCTGGCCTGTTTTTCCGAGTCACTGGAAGCAAGACTCAGCAAGGCAGGTCAACATCTCCACAGCTGGGAAGACCTGCTAATACATGGCAAGAATCTGGAAGCCAGATTCCAAAAGGTCACGTTGGACTGAAACCAATAAGATTATGTTTAACAGGCTGGATATGAACCTCCACTTTTAGGTTCAAAAATCAGTTGTAAAAACGCAGGCAGTTTCCCGCGGAAGACGTGATGGGCCGACTCGCAGCTGTCTGCTCTGTTCAGGCAGAGCCAGCTCCCCAGCGCAGGCCCCTTGTGAATCTCGCCAGAGCCCCAGCAGCTGAGCCTGTGCCCTTGGGGGCCCTCCCGGGGTGTCAGGCTCACTGGGGGAGGGGACACAGCTGGAGACGCCGGAGAATGGGGTCCTTGTGCGGCTATCATCAAACCCAGGGCTGGATGAACACAGCTTTGTCCGCACCCACACTCCCGTGCTCACCACGGGACCAGGGATCAGGGCCGGGGGGCGTCGCCTCGGAACAACAGTGGCTGCTTTTGGCCTCAGTTAACCCTTGAGTGGGTGTCGGATGCATGGTCTTCCCCCAGCTCCGTGCTTGGGGGCCGGGGGCTTGCAGGAGAAGGGTAAAAATTGGTGTCGGTGTCCAAGGTTCAAAACAGGGTTGTTAAACCCAATTCTTTCTAGATTTAAACGGCCGCGGCCATTGGGGAAGATGAGAGGGGGGCCCTGGGGGAGGGGATCCAGGCGGAGGTAACTCTGAGACAGACTCAGGCTTCCCCACAGAATCCTCTTCCTGAGTCAGGCCCATCTGGGAACAGAAGCCCAACCCGATGGCGCCCCAGCCCCGGCCTGGCTCTGGTACGCACCTCACTTTCGGAGAGCTCTTGGTCATGCAGAGCGGGTCCCACACGGGCATCCCTCAGCCCTGCCAGATCTCAGCCGCCACGATGGGGAGACCCAGGCGACCCAACCTCAGCGGGGAGAAGAGTCCAAACATCCTTGGCTGGAAACCCAAGGACCTTGTGGTGACTTCAGAGGAAGTCCGGGTGGGAGTCAGTCAGGAGGGGCTTCCCGGAGGAGGGAAGGGCAGACTGAGGTGGGGAGGTGGTAGATGAGGGTGATTCGCAGGCCTCGAATCGGGGGTCTGGGCTAGGAAATGGGGTCCTCCCTGTGAGTTTGCATTGTTCTCTCTTAGTAAAAGGCCGGGTGGCGAAGGCCCAGCGAGCTGGACAATAGGGGCACCGGAACGCCCAGGGCTGCTGCGTCCCGGGTCCAGGCCATACCACCTGCCGCCTCTCTCCTCCCCCTGCGCAGGCAGCCTTGGGGAGGCTCTTCTCTACCATTTCCTAAATTCCTCCAATTTCTCTTTTGAAATGTATTCATTTTGCAATCACGGAAAACCGAGATAATCAACATTACCCCCCAACACACGTCCAGGCCCAGAGATCCCGGCCCCCTCGCCACGCTCTTGGGGAAGCCCTGGGACACCCTGCTCCCTCTCCTGGCCGCCCTGTGAATTCACTGCCCCCGCTGGGTGCTTGCGGTTCTGCGGAGCCTCTCCGCCCCATCCCTGCCCCACAGGCTCCCTGATGGTTTGTGCGCCCTGGGGAGCCTCCGTTTGCCCTGCACCCACCACCCCCAGGCCCCGTGGAGACCACCGGCTGGACCCAGGGCAGATGTGGCCTGCTCCGGCTCTGGTCCCTCAGTGCACAGAGTCCAGGGGGGACGCAGACCAGCCCCCAGAAGCCCTTCCCACTTCCCCAAAGCTGGGATGTGACCGGTGACTGGGCATTTGTGTCCTGAACACCCACAGTAAAGTGAGCCCTGGGCAGTCAGACCCCTGCTCGTGGGAGGCCCACGGCCAAGGCTGAAGGCGCCAGGTACCCCACGACGGCGGGGCATATGGGGCCCAGTCCTCCAGGGCTGAGCCAGCCTCCCTCACCCCGTCGAGGGCCTTGGGAAAGGCTCACCCAGGGGTCAGGGTCCTCTGCTGCAGGCACACCCATGTGTGGGGCCTCCTGATGCCTCAGGTGTGGGTGAGGGTGAGCTCACTTCCTTCTGGATCCCCGGTGGGATCCCTGGGCCCCCTGCACCCCCTGCCAATGCTGTGGCCCCACCCTGCCTGCAGAGGGCTCCCGGCTGAGGGAGGCAGAGGGGCTGGAGCCCCTCACCCAGCCTGCCCCTGTTTTCACCACAGTGATTGCTTTGTGGGCTGTCGGTGGATCTGCCCTGCCCCCTCTCCAGGATCAAGGGCCATGGGCCGGAGGCCCCTTGAGGGTGGCTGGGTGTGGGGGTGCGGGAGGATTTTCAGCGGAGCTGCTGGGTGAGAGTTTGGCTGCAAGGAATCTCTGGCTTCACACACTGGGGTAAGGGGGTGCCCGGAGTCCCGGGGCCCCCGGGAGGGGGCAGGAGAGACCCCCCCCCAACAGAGTGAAAACAGGAATCTGCAGTGGGGGGTGAGGAGGAAGAGAAATGGGCATGGCTGCCAGCTAGGCCGAGGGGCGCCAGCCATCACCGCTGACCAGGAGGGAGAATGGGGCTTTCCTGAGTGCCAAACCTCAGCCAGAGGGTGACCCCCATTCCCGGCCAAGGCCACGCAGGCGGGAAGGGGGAGCCAGTATTTGGACCCAGGCCATTCACCTCAGTCGGAGCTCTGGCCCTGAAAACCCAGAGACACGCAGGGCCTGGGTTCTGATGAGCAACCTCAGAGGAGCTTCTGTGGAGCGTTTCGGCGGGGACAGCTGCCCCCCGTCCTTGGCTGAGCCCAGCTCTCGGTCCCCGGTGGCCGCGAAGCCTCAGGACAAGAAGCCT